GGAGGTTCCCTCCGAATATCGGGAAATGCTTTTTATTTATCGTCAGGGTGACCGGGCGCCGGCACAGGTTGCCCAGGGAGGTTGGGGAGATCTCCGTCCTCGGAGAAATTAAAAAACTGCCCGGACAGGGTCCTGGGCAGCCGGCTCTGGGGGCCCGGGGGATCCCCAGAGGTCCCTGCCACCCCCAGACCTTCCCTGAGACTCTCTGAGTAATGGCTTACTAGCGAAAAGCAGGTCTCATGCTTTTTTTTTTCCCCTTCTCTCTACATTTTCTGATTAGTTTTTTTACTCTTTTCTTTGGCTGCTTCCCAAGGGCGCGCGCACACACGTGTGTTCCTTCCTCAAGGCTTTTCTGTTCTCTACCTTATCCTGAAATCCCCAACTTCTTGCCTTCAACTTCAGTCCCTCGGCTGGAGCTGCGTTTTTGAATTGTTGCTGAAAGTGCGTGACCAATGTAGTAATTAAATGCACGCTCTGAAGTCTGTCCCCGATGCAAATTTGCCACGCTGGAGTAATGAAGACGCTGTGCTCTGTCTGCGTTTTTCCAGAAATGAAGTTCTAAGCATGGTTTGATCCTCAAAGGAGCCTTGAGTCACAGCAGACCCATTCCTCCATTGCTGACTTTTTTTTTTTTCCCCCGCAATACGGGAAAATTCACATGATAGGGGGAGAAAGTCACCTGCCAGGTCTTCTTATTTTCATCTTAAAAAATTAAAAATAAAAATCTAAAGGGATAAAGGATGCTGTTACATTGATTCCTTTCTCTATGCTGTTGCTTTTACTGCTTTTCCCTTCTGCAAACAGCTGATACGTTTTCAGCTCTTGTTGCTAAATCAGCTGAAGTAGGCTGTAGTTTGTCCTTGAAAAGATGAGGAGAGTGCCCGGATTTCCCACCAAACGTACTCCATTGCTATAATGGGAGAAGGACCTACATCTTTTCCTTCTTTTGGATCCTGGGGAACAGGATTCCTTGCAGCAAATAAGTTACATCCTGAATGAGACAAACCTACCTCTAGAGCTGTATGAGCAAAGCGCTATGTGTAGTTGCAGCACATGTGAATGTTCTGTTCAGCACTGTAATTTTTTTGATGTAAAGTCTGCCAGGAGCACAAATTAGTAACTTTTTGCTACAGTGTTTTTTGAATACGTAAACACAGTAGAAACTTGGTAATCTGCAAGTAAGTCTGTTGGTTCTTTAGTAGCCCCAGCTGTCGAGTAGGACGGGAGAGAGTTTGGGTACAAACACTGTTGGCCCCCATGTCCACACACAGTTTTTCATTCACTTTCTGCATCTGTGAACTGCTGTTTGATTATTCTTTCTTTCAGGTCCTTGTAACTGAACACAAACGGACCATGCCTCTTCCAGAAACCATGTTTTGTGCTCAGCAGATCAAAATCCCCCCTGAGCTACCTGATATTCTGAAGCAATTTACTAAAGCTGCTATTAGGACTCAACCTCATGATGTTTTGCAGTGGGCAGCTGCGTAAGTATGACGTTCACGTAACGATGTAGTGCTATGCGTATGGACCCACAAAATCTCACTGCTCCTGTTTATTGTACGGTGGAGCTGGCTTTGAATGTTAAACCAACCTCGTTATTGCATACACGCTTCTGTGCATTAATGCAGCATGTAAGTGTTTTAAAAACAGTGTAGTACTTGATTTGTTTTCTGTTTCATTAAGGTTTAGGACTGGCATATTTCTGGAACAGTTTGATTTCCATACAGGAAAATGCATCTTAATTTTTTTGTTATTAATTTCTCTGTCCTGAAGACCAAACTTTTTTTTTCTTTTTCCCCTCCTCTCATGTGAGACTTAATTCTTGGAATTTAAAGGAAACCTAGAAAATAGCTTTCTAATTCTTAAGCTTGCTTAGGTTTCTTTTTTTTGTTTCCAGGAACAAAACTAGGGAGTCTCCTTAAACGTTACTGAACTGGGAAAAGAGCCAGAAAAGTTGCAACTTTTGGGCGATACTCCCCATAATAAATCTCTCACTGTAAAGTTGATTTAACATATTTAAATGTTTCTTCTTTAACTGCTTTTTCTTCTTTTACCTCAACTGCTCACTATCACTTTTTCCTGTTCTATGGTTTGTGTGGACAAGCTCTTGAAAGGTATCTGTGAGATGTTCTCAGTTGGGGGGACTGAAAAACACCCATACTGTGTCCATGAGGGAGAGGAGGCTGTTTACAAAGCCAGGCGGGAGAAGAACTGGGGCAGAGCAAGGTCTGAACCTGGTAGCCACGCAAGGCAGAGCAAGCTGTGGTTTCACATGCGCTGTCGGTGTTGCAGTGCTTGACCCTGTGAATAATCAGATGGGGAAATGGATCCAGCTGAAAAATAGCCCAGGTGTTACGTGTACATACATACTGTGCATTTATTTCTGTACAGTCACACTAACTCAGTTCTGCAGTGCTGCTTGCTGTGCATTTTGGCACGTATTTGCACAGCATGGGATAGCCTGGGCACAGACGTGGGTGACCAGGGCAGATGAGGGAGGATGAGTAGAGAAACCCTTAAATAAGACCTGCCACTGACTGAATGAAAACTAAGTTTTCCTTGCACGGTTCAGATTGCTGGCCAGTTACAGCAGAGGTGGTTGCTCTTAAGGCTGTGGCAGCCTTATAATTAAAAGGATGTGCATCTAATTCCCTGTCTGCTCTAGTCTTAAATTTTATTTTGGAGTGGACAGAAATAGCAGAAAGGCTGATGAGGGAGTTGCAGCATAAATAGCCAGTTGTGCTTTTCGGGCAGTGTGTGAGGGGAATGTTAAGCAAATGAGCCCTCAGGTGCTCCTCAATCAAATGGGAAAAGCCTGCATTTTGGTTTGCAAGCACACTCTGATGTTAATAAATCACGTTCTGCCTTTGCCAAGAAAGGCTGAGTATATCATGCACAAAATAAGTTAAATGTCTTAAGAATTATTAGAATGTCGTAAAAAGGAGCGTGTAAAGCCTAAAGATTGAGGTTTCTGCTAAAAAGAAAGGTGGTATCTGGGCACGGGGAGATAGGAGTTGTGTGTGCGGGCAGGTAGCCGAATGCTGCCGCTCCTGTGCAGGAGCGTGCGGATTCATTGACTGAACTGTCCGAGCGTTCACTTCTGTGCAGCCACAGGCATTGAAGCGTGTTGCTCTTCCCATTCACTTAGGTATTTCTCAGCGCTGTCAAAAGGCGAGCCCCTTCCTGTGAAGGAGAGGATTGAAATGCCTTTAGCAGCAGAGAAAACAGATGCTGGTTTGACCCCAGGACTCCTTAAAGTCTTGCACAAACAGGTACAAACAGGTCTTTATCAAATGTACGATGCTATTGAGGAATGCTGATGCATTGGGGATGATTGGGGAGACTGAGTGTCAAGTATTTGATGTATTTTGGGGAGAGACTGCATTCTTAGTTTCATTCGGGTTTTCAGAGTTCTTATTGCGGTACCATGATTTCCTTTACAGCTTTCTCCCAAAGGCACGGTGAATGTTGCAGAACTGAAGGAAAAATGGAAGCACTTGTGCTTGCCAGAGGAGCAGCTGAAAGCCATCCTGCAGCTGGGCGACTTCGGCGAGGAGGTGGAATGGATGAAGGTTCTGGCACTTGGGTGCAGCGTGCTCGGCGGGGTAAGTTCACAGCAGGAGCCCTCTTATCCAAATGCAGACAGTCATATATGATTGTATATGAGGTAGACCAAAGAACAATTAATGCAAGTGGACTTCGGGGAATGGTGATTGCTTTTGTGGCAGCTGGTGAAGCGGCTTGCCTCTTTACTTCTCTTCCCCACCAGCTTTTGGTCCGGGGCACTTAACCAGAATGAGGGCTGAGTCCTCAGTTTACTGGGATGGCAGTAGAAGAGCAAGCTTGTCCGCAGGGAGCGTGGACCATGAGAGAGAGGATGATAGAGGAATGATGCTTATGGCATCGGTGTAAATGTCCATAGAGGAGAACTGGAGGGAGAAATTAAAACATCAATTTTTAATTGATTGTGTAGTCAATTAAATTTTCACAGAAGCAGTTAATATTACTAAATCTACATTTAATTCTTTTAATGTCAGTAATAGAGTCTCAGGAGAGCGTTTCAACAGAATGAGAGATTATAAAACACACTAAGCTGATGTTCTTCTGAAGTATAATACTTTTAATGATTTCTGCAGTAGAGAAGAAGGGGTACTAAAAAGAAAATTCATGTTAAATAGTATTTTGAGAATGTTGCAATATCTGGAAGCCCTGAATGTTGACCTGTCCTGGTGATGCAATTGTGTGTGTGTGTGTGTATTTTTATTCATTTCAACTGTGTATTTCTTGATTCCAATCCCCCTCCCAACATGATTTTGTAATTTGAGCTCTTAATTTAAAAAAAAGTAACAGCAACATTACTAATTTAAAAAAAAAATCAAAACAAAAACAGAGTCACAGGAACATCATTCTGATGCAGCTAGACAGACTAAATTTAGATCCATCTATTCATCCTTTCAGACACTAAGTGAATGATTTGATTTCAGCTCTACATAATGAAACCTAAACTTCAGTTTCCTAAACCAGAGAGGAGGACACACACAAGAAATCTACGTTCATTTCCTGCAGCTGTAAATTGTGTTCATAGTTGAATATGGTCACAGTTAAGATACAAGAGTAGACAGGTATGAACTACTTAAGAACACCAGTCACCTGAAGTATCTTTCTGTAAAGCACTGATGTGTTTTTACAGCCTTGGAGAAATGACCACACGGGTAGCCTGTTAAATTGTCTTTCAAAGGTGGCAAAATTAATGTGAATAAATAACTTTGCTGCATTGTAAGAGACAGAGGGAGGCAGCTTGCAGTGGCAGGAGCAGGAAGGGCAGTAGAGGGGTAGCAGACTGCGGAGGGGAGTCTGCTGTCACATAAGCAGGTGGCTCTCCTTCCCCAGAGAGGGCTCCTGGGGAGGAATTACATTGAATAAAACTGCTAAAAGGTTATAAAATGACACTTCTCTGGCCTGTGTTTGAGATCTGGAATAGGTATTGCATTTATTTCAAATATTGCTGTCCTACTGTTAGGAAATACTTATCTTTTTACAAAGTCATCGCTTGCTTGTTAATGAAGAGGTAAGGATAAATTTTGAAAAAATATTCCTACGTGGGCTAAAAAAAGGCCTGTGTGGATTGGGGTGGTGGTGGTGTTTCTTTGTTTTGATGGCATCCAACCAGTCTTTGACTGAATGAAGCTCAATGTTGAATTTTTCCACGTTTCCCTGTATAGCTCAGCCAGCGTAGGGTACTGGATTGTAGACACTATTGAATAAAGGATTTTTTCAAAGTAGATTTGGAACTAATACTTTAAGGCATGTTTGTTTTTAAGGGAACTCAGATGTTACTGGGCTTTGACTAAACTGAAATATTCTTGAAATGCTTTTTTGCTTTTCTACTAACTACTAAAATGGAACTTGCATACAAATAGGGAGAACAGTAGATATCAGCACTCCTAAAAATTAATATCATAATAAAAATCATCAAACCCATATACATTTTCTGGGGTTTGTAGATTTGTCTGTCTTAAATGCTGCTGAGAATTCATTTAGATCCATTGAGATAATAAACACACACACACACATATATATCTCACTAGGTATAGTGGTGCTGGAGCTTTTGCAGTAGCAGAACAGAGCAATTGGGCCATACTGGAGACAGAGCTCAGACTACCCCATGCAATCTTTAAATATGATGGGATTATGGTATTTTTTACTCCTGTCTCTACTAGAACTTCGTTAGTTTCCATCCCTGGACCTGAACTGGAGGGTAAATTTGGGGTTGAAAACTAGGTAATGATGATAAAGCCTTCATCTCATTTACACTCACTTTTAGTGGCTTACAGTGTGGATTTTGTCATGGTATGCAAAGGATGTTCGTGGCTCTGATACTGCCCCTCTCATTTCTTGAATCCCCTGCAGTCCTTACTGAGTTCAATGAAACATGCCTGCGAAATCTTAACAAGGGACCCAGAAGGTGGAGCGGCTCGCGTTCCCTTCGAAACATTCTCGTTCCTTTACTCGTATTTGGCCAGTATCGATGGAGAGATACCAGAGGAGAAAACTGAAGCGTTCCTCCATGGAATTAAAGAACAAGCGTAAGTAGAAATCTGTGCATGGAATTTTACTGTATTGATCACCTCTGGGTTCTCCATAAACCTTTAATTTCAGGTGAATAGTCCATCTTCACTTTGGGCATAGTCATGATGACAGGAGTAAAGGTTGTATCAAAAGTGTAGATGTTTCTGTAGATGTTTAATTTATTACAAACTTTAAAAAACACCTTCCCCCCATCCCTCCCTCCTTCCCAGGCTTAACTCCACTCCTGATTTTCTCTACCTACCCCCCCCCCAGTAGTGCAGGGGGACAGGGAATGGGGGTTGGGATCAGTTCATCACACGTTGTCTGTGCCGCTCCTTCCTCCTCAGGGGGAGGACTCCTCACTCTTCCCCTGCTCCACCGTGGGGTCCCTCCCACAGGAGACAGTCCTCCACAAGCCTCTCCAACATGAGTCCTTCCCACAGGCTGCAGTCCTTCAGGCACAGCCTGCTCCAGCGTGGGTCCCCTGCAGGGTCACAAGTCCTGCCAGCAAACCCGCTCCAGCACGGGCTTCCCACGGGGTCACAGCCTCCTTCGGGCATCCCCCTGCTCCAGTGTGGGGTCCTCCCCAGGCTGCAGGTGGAGATCTGCTCCACCGTGGACCTCCCTGGGCTGCAGGGGGACAGCCTGCCTCACCGTGGTCTTCATCACCACGGGCTGCAGGGGAATCTCTGCTCTGATGCCTGGAGCATCTCCTCCCCCTCCTGCATTGACCTGGGGCTCTGCAGGGCTGGGGCTCTCACATGTTCTCACTCCTCTCTAGCTGCAGTTGCACAGTTTGGGGTTTTTTTTCCCCCCTTCCTAAATCTGTTCTTCCAGAAGCACTTCCACCGTTGCTGATGGGCTCAGCCTTCGCCAGCGGTGGGTCCGGCTGGCATCGGCTCTGTCAGACATGGGGGAAGCTTCTAGCAGCTTCTCAGAGAGGCCACCCCTGTAACCCCCCCGCGACCAAAACCTTGCCACGCAAACCCAATACACTTAGATTGCTACCAGCTCCATGTCCATGGGAGCATAAAAATGTGTGAGCACACAAATGAGCTGACTTGTTTTGGCATGACAGTTACCAGATTGACAATTTTTAGTAAGAACCACTTTTTAATCACACCGCTCTTCCTTGTGGTTCATATAAACCTTGTATCTTGTCCAACACACTAGGATTTACCATGTTAAAGTGTTGTTCTAAAACATTTGGTTTGTTCCTTTCCAGTGACCAACAAACTGGCATGGTGCTGCTTAGAAACTTTCTGACCCAGCCCTCAAGACCGTTTTGATCAGCCTACTCTTCAGCACCAGGTGAGAGGAAAAAACACAACAAATAAATACAGGCAAGAAAATAATTTGTGTTCAAAGGACCAATATTTGTACATTACAATACAACATCCTCTTCTCTGGCACTTCTTTATCCCACTCCTGCAATCACCCTTCAGTGGATGTTAACTGAATACATGGTTATACTGTTCTCCTGCCTCCCAAATACTGATGCTCACACCTAGGGTGTGATACCTTCACTCACCCGTTTACACGGAGTAGAAGGTATTTGGTATGGATCTTCCTACCTGTACTTCGTAAGTAAGTGACTGATTGTAAGAAAAGAAGTAAAACACAGGATTAAATTGAGAGAACACGGGACAGCTATAATTGGTGCATTTCTCATTACACTCCTGGTAGCACTGACTTTTTTTTGACTCTTACACAAATACAGCTTATCTTTTGACTGCCTTGTCTGCAAGAACACACTCTACTGAAAGTTTTACGAAGCTTTACTCAAGAGAACTTCATGAGAACCCTGTGGCTGAGCTGGTAGAAGAAACATCAACTCAAGAAAGGACTGCAATGGTTCTGTATTGTTCCCCCTCTCATAGGACCCTTTCAGAACTTAAGTATCTTTTCCCATTCTTAGATGGACTTGTCTAATTAAGGATCTGTTTCAAAGTACATCTTGTTTTCTGACAGGAAAAGTTACTGCATTTGTCATGTAGGTGAGTAATGCCTGCCACAGAGTTCAGCTTGGGTTTGGGTTTGAGTTGAACAGCTGTACTAGGTACAGAAGTCTAAATCAATCAGAACTAGACTAAGTAGTGACAGTTAATCACACTTAATTGCAGAAATGATTGAGGTAAGAGACAGGATACTAGCGGCTACAGTAAAACTGGAGAGGCCATTGCCAGGGAAGGCCAAACCGAGGAGCATATGGAGCACTGTTTCCTGGCAACTCGCTCGGAGAGAAGGAAGTATTGTAGGAAAGATGGATCTGCAAGCTTGTTCTTTTATAGTCACTGACTTCATGGAGGTGACAAGCTTGGCTGATGATGACTGACCTTGCTGTAGTAGCTTGTGTGAGGAATTAACAGACCTAGAAACTGGTTATGATAAAAATCTCACTGAAGTTAAGTGGAATCCTCATGCACACCCTTACTACATACCTGCACATCTTACATCTAACTTTTATATCAGCCTCTATCACTAATATTTGTACGATAGTCTACAGCATGGGAACTCCTCCTAGTTATTTCTGGAAGGAAATGGGTATTGCAGTCAGCAACATTACACTCCCCACTAGTTTCTGTGGAGAGCTAGGTCCTCGTCATCTTTGCCAGATGACACTGATCCTAAATTTCTTTGAGCATGAGCTTGGGAACAGTAACTTTCCCATTATTGTCCTTTCACCACTAGCTGCAGCTGAAGATGTTTTAGCCGGTTGGAGAACTCTGAAGTCTCCCTCTGGTACCTGCTGTAACTGGGCAGTAAGTGCTGTCCTTGCAGAACACAGCTCGCCGAGGTGACAGTGTCAGGGGAGGAGAGGAGCTCTCTTCATGCTCCTTGCATTTGTAATTGATCTGAGACTCCAGGGATGAGCTCTGTTCTATATCCACTAACTGTGGGCCAGGAAGGCAAATCGGTACAGCCTCTCACAGATTTCATTCTCAGCCTTGTCAGACTGAACTCAAACAGATGAGAGAGATCAATATAATTTATGAATAGATGCATTAGTGTTACAGATTTACACACTTTCTGGTATATACTGCTTCCATCCTGACAAACCTTAACACGATTCCATTTTTGTCTCCAAGCACAGCTGTGATGCAACACCAACATTATGGACAAAGTGTTACTGTCCCTGGCACAACAGCGGTAACGGTAGTTCCTGCACAAGTAATTTTTTGAAAAGCTGACAAAATAATCAGGTTCTTGTTTCTACTTTCTTCTTTTATGGCCGTGATACTTGTCTTCATCCCTGAAACAAAACCACAAACATTGTGTGGGCTGTTAGGCTCAGACTGACAGAATCTGAAGGAAAATAAAAAACTAACTTGGAAAATAAAACACTTTCATTAAATGTAATCATGTCCTCTTCTAAGGAAAGAAAGCAGTTTACTTTAAGACAGTTTATTTCCCATGCTGTTTTAAGCAAAGCCTTGTCATGCAATGCCATAGTGGCAATTAATTTAGCATGAATCGCATCACTGCATAATGAAGCCAATTTTGAGAGAAGCAATCATTCCCATCCCTGCAGTAGTTTTCCACAGCATTTCTTCTGCATGACATTTAAGTCTTTGCTCAAACCCAGGTCCCAGACACCTACAGTCTTGCAGATACAAACATGCACTTGTTGATGGTATTAGAAGGTGTGGTCTAGATTTGTTTTCTTTTGCCTAAAAGTATGTCCAGAACTACTGAAGAGCAACAGCATTGTTTTGAAGCATCTGCCATGGAAAAGCTAGTCAAATGATCATACGTATATGTTATTAGTGAAACAAATAACTCTACTGACTAAGTCCCAGTGCAACCTAGAGCAGAAATCAGCATTAGACAGGATGAGCACACTTAGCTGGTTAAATGGACAATACGTCCCCCTCTGCGTACATTGATCAAGGAGTAGAACAGCCTGTGACAGTACTGCGCTAATCCTGTAGTGCGCTGTTGGAAGTGTCACCTTTCAGATGTGAGAGTAAATTCTGAAGTCTGGATCACCATTTCTGATCTCACAGCATGTTCTGTTTAGTATCAGTAGCCTCGTGATGCTGGCTTGTTATACAGTATATGAGATGAGCCTAGCTTTTAAATTGGGCTAGATGCTCTAATTGTCTGCACTAAATTTTCATAGACAATGGCTACGGCTGCCTGATTCAGAAGCAGGAGTCAGCTGTCACTATTGATGCTCACCTCTCTCTTTTTCTCCGAGAATCTCTGTCTTTGCCTCTTTCACGACTCCGTTTTCGTTTATTTGGACTCCTGCTGGCCTCTCTCCTGTGTCTGCTGCGTTCAGTATCCTTACAGCTTCCTCCAGACTGCCGTGAGTCCACTGAAGCTGACCGACGGTCTTCCTTTCTGGAAAAAAGTTATTTTATTCAATAAAAAGTTTCACAGTCATTATTGTGTTCAGTATCAGTTTTGTAATATAATGACCTACTAACAGTGTAAGACAGAGGACATACATACCTCTTATTAAGCCTCTCTATCTCCCTAAGAAATACAATACCTCCCAAAAGAGGCCCCATGTCCACACTCTTATATGTGCACATCTCAGCACACTGTTTAATCCAGTTATTTCTTACAAACACTGCCCCTCAGTCTCATCATCTCTGCTCATGAAAGAGGAGACAGTAGAAGGGGTTCATTCTCTTTTGCTTTAAATCCCTGACTCTTCAACCACCTGCCTTAAGCTGCTACCTACAGTCAGAGAACCCAGCAAGCCTGATCTCCTCTATGTTTTTTACATTTACCTCCATTTTAATGCTGAAAACAAACAGCTCAAGTGTCACCTTTTAGTTAGTTTGTTTCAACAACACGTTCATCTCGAAGATCTCCTGAAGCAGCACAAATAGACTCTCACTAGGTCATGATTCCATTATTTCAGCGGCAAATGTTTGGAAGAGTGTGCAATGTTGCTTGACGCAGGAAGAAATATGTATACATAAACCACATTCCCAGTTAGCACAGCAGCATTCACATTGATAAGAACTGTAAAGGGTCCCCAGATTTAGTAAGTTATGAAAACCTTTTCTCTGAGGTATTTTATATTCTATCTACCATAGCATTTCTGTCACATGGTAGGGAAGTGGAAGAAATTGTGTACTTGTATTTTCAAGTGTCCTTCTGTCCCTAGCTATCACATATATATGCAGCATTTGGATACCGGAGGAGTGCTATTCATTCCCCAGCTCCACCAGAAACTACCTGTTCCCCTGGATCCCTTGGAACTTGCCTCCTTACCCCTGAAAGAAAGGTAGTAATTCATTTTTCCCCATCTTTCATGCAGACAGAGCTTCTCAAGCAAGGGTGTAACAATTAGTATAAAATAAACTGTGCATATCTCTCAGCCAAGGTTGGTGTATGTCCTTTTGGAAAGGGGTAATAGGATAACATTACAGACTATCTGGCTGCTGACATCCCGGAGGAATTTCCCAACTGTGACATACCTTCCTGAAGATTTTGACTTCCCTCCTTCACATATCTCTGCATTATCCAGCCTATTCTCCTCCTGCCAGTGATTGCTGAGTTCTTCCATATGCACACCAATCACATCCCGAATCACCTGCAGATTAAGATAGATTAAAAACAAACAACACAAAAAGCAGCATGTCATGGTAGTGGCCTGAACTAGCAACTAGACAGCAGAACGTAAACATCTCAAAAAATCCCCCAAACACCAAAAAACAACAACAAAAAAAAAAACCCAAACCAAAACCCCACCAACCCCCAAACTCTACACATCAGATGTTTGAACGGAAAGTCTTATTTGCAGAAACAGGTATTTCAGCATAAATTTAAATAGCACCATTTTACAATCGACAGTCAACTGTATCTTGCTGGCATTTTCACATTCAAAATTTCAGTCAGAAATGCTCCTGTTACTTGTAACTTGCTGCAACAAACCAAAAAAAGACTCCTCTGTAGTTTGCAACTCTATTAAGGCAGGGTACAAGAAGCAGAGAGAGAGACATTTTCTTTGTCTGAAGGGTATATCATTGTTTATGCTGATAGACAACAAGCACTTCTGTGCAAAAAACCTCTTTATTTTCAGATCTCACCTCAGTGTAAGACTTCTTTGTTATATGAACATTCTTAGCCCTGTATGACTGCCGCCGCCTTTTGTAGTCTCGCATTTCAGCCAGAATTTCAAGATGGGACTTCGGACCTTTCTGACTATCATCTAGCAAAAAATTGGAAGTAAAACAAATGGTCATTAGCAGGACATTAGCACCTGCAGGTACGCAAGTCTGGTGCTTTAGTACTAAAAGTCTGAAACATAAAATATATTGTGTTCTTTCTGAAGTTTCTCTGGTATTTAGTAACTATTATGAATTTGGCACAAGCTTCCTCTCCAACCTTCTTGCTGGCTGTTTACACAAAACTAAAAAGCCACCAAGCAAATGTTGTTATGTGATCTCAGTCTCCCAGCAGTGATCCAAATCAATATATGGGCTTGCGATTTGGTCAAATGCCTACAAAATACTGGCCATAAACACAGATGCTTACGTTGCACTTCGTACAAACTGGCATGACTCAACAGGGATGACAGGCCTCAGTCCAATGCACCCAACTGCCAACGTTTCTTGTTCAGCTTTTACTCTTAAGTGATCTTTAATCTCATCACCTCTTATAACAAATACTGTTCCAAGCTGCGCAGTTAAGTTGGCAACATTAAGCAACCTGAAGTCAGTTACAGCAAAGACAAAAGATCCATCCGCTAAGATACACACAATATGCGTGTCCAGAGCAGAGCACTGAGGCTTTCTCAGAAGGAAAACATGAAGGATAGCAAACTAGTGTTTTCTGATGCCAAGTCTTCCTTGTGGCTTTTAAGACAGTATGCTTTTCACAATAAAAATAGCACAAGCAATTCTGTTTGGCTTTTGACAAAACTCATCTAACTACACAAAGTGAAAGTTCTGAGCCATAAATTCAACAACAGATTGTTCTTCAAACCTTGGGTGATTTTCGCTGCTAAATCCACAAAGAGATCGCTGTCATTCTCCGTTATTTGGGATCTAGACCTCTGTTTCTTTGTTTCCTCAACAACATAATCATAAAGAGCAAGGCGATCAGCTTGAGTCAGGTCACAGGTGAAACGCTTGTGATTTTGAGGAACTTCTACAGGCAGTAATGAGTAAGACCCTGGAGGTTGAACAGACACCTGTTATTAGTAAAACAACATAGTTATACAGGAAAACACTGAGAAGCAAAACAAACAAACAATGCAGTAAACACCCATGCTGTTTTCATCCTTCCCCATCATACCTGTAAGAAGTTTCATCCTTCTTAATTTGAAAGGATAAAAATTGCTCAAAGAAAAAAAGGCCCAAATCCTTCCCCTGCCCCCTGCAGGCTGTATAACCTCTCTTGACTGCTTACACTGTTAGTTATGGGTTTACATATACTTTGAAGGGATCATACTAAATTAGGTCAAAAGAACACTCTGCGTTGTCCCATCAATTTCAGCTCTTGGCTTAGAAGATAATGCAAGAGAGAGGCGGCTGAAGCTCTTAACTTTTGGGTTTGTCTTACTCCTAAAATTTTCTGTAAAGTACTAGCTGCAAAATACCTGTTGTTCTGCCAGCAAGAATGAAAGCTTCTAGGAGACTAGGTAACTGGGCACTGTGCAGATCAGTCTCACTCACACTGTCACTTTCTCTACAGAGCTTTTATAATAGACTGCCACAGAAATTTATAGCTAAAAGGGCCACAAAGGCACTTTCAAAACGCTCCAGATTAGCTCAGATAACTAACTTTCGATTTATGAAAACAAACACACTGACTGCCCACTCTTCTTTCCCCAAATGATCAAGCCGGTACTCGCTCTTCCCATTCCCCAGTTAAAACACATATCCTACAAACAGCAATAAATCCATTCTCAATTCATTGCAACAGCAGCAAAGTGACTTCCCTACAGATACTGGTTGCAGTATTCCAAGATATTGCCTGCAGAAAAGCATTTTACTCGCGAATGTTCAACTTCCCAGAAACCATTGACCCGACCTCCGTACTCCTGCTCCCCACAAGGCACGATCCCAGACAGACACAGGTCTCCAGGCAGACAGAGGAGCCAACGCATATGACACGGTGTAGGTAGGAGCCTTCACAACAGCAAAGCTGCTGCTTCTCTAGATTATTCAGCACTTAACGGAAGCTGGGCAATCTCTCACATCCTGCTTTCACTAAAGACACCAAAGAAGAGGAAGAAGAGCCACAATAAACCCTACAACAACAAACCTAAAATACCAGATTTCCTCATTACTGTACTTGGAGCCTAAAGCAGAACTTTTCTAATCCGAACTACAGATTTAAACACAAACACTAGAATTTTATTTTCAAAATGTACTGTTCTGACAGGGTCATAGAAGCCCATAAAAGCACTCTAATAGTTACGTACTTGTGATTTTACAAGAATGTCATAACTTGTGATTAACACCAGCTTTCCTGTCCTATTATACGGCTATTCTAATAGTCTAAAAATGGTTAGAATTTTTTAAAGACAAAGAAAGAAAATTACTTCGATACAGTTAGTCAAAAGGAAATTTACAATGGAAAAATACTTTGCATTTGTTTCTGTTGACAAAGACTTTAAATTAAACAAACATTTCCAAGTCAGTAAATTTTACACTAGGCCAAGACACCACAATGAAAACCACCCCAGTACAGTTTTAGTGTTATCTTCAGAGAAACACAAGCTTGCAGTGAAAACCGGATAGCAAACACTGGCATCTAGTGGCTCACTGATGCAGCTCTGCGATGCACCACCTGATAAAGGGTTTATGTTTCTTCTCTACTTGGATGTGCTTGTGTCAAATTAATGAGTTACCACTTCCCTCCAGAGGAAAAGCACCCGACGTGCTCCAAGCGCAGTGCCCATCACAGGAAAGCTCCTTCCCAAGCAAGTGACTGTTAAGGCTCCATTTGCTATGCCAGCAAAACAAAGACAACATGAAAAACTATGCCTGAGCAAGCACTGCTGTATTTGACTTGTCAGGAAAGCAGAACAAATGCACTTCTCCTCCTGCACATGTATGTTTACCAAACTAAAGGACTACAGACAGTAAATGCTGCATCTTTCAGGTGTTGCAGTAATTTCCAAACCATATGCTGCAGCTCTACAGTGGTTTCTATAGGTAGCCCTACTTTTCTACTCTGTCTTGGTCTGAACTCTCAAAGAGAAGCATTGCTCAGTCTTAACCTGGTCCTCAGACTGGTCACAAAACCCACTGAAAAATGAAACATAAAGGAACAAATGAGCTGAGAGCAGTGGCAAAGGACCACATCATATTTGCAGATGTGTCAGCATATTTCTTATACAACCTCTTAAGACAGTCTTGAAACAATCCAACATAGGAATATGCATGTGTTTGGGTTTTGATCTGAGGAGTTGTGGACAAGCACATACAGCTCTCATCTAGCAATTAATCCTTAAACAAAACACTACATGAAGAACAAGGCTGGACGCAGCATTAGAAGAGTTTGAGCCACAAAGAGCACAAGAATAATATCAGAAAATGCAGGCAGAAAGTAAAGCGTAGGTAGTGGGATGGGAAGTGAAGGACTAGCGCTTTAAGAAACGCCTGAATTTTGCAGTGGTGATTTTCCAGTCCTGAAAAGAACTATAGGCATGAGCACAACAGACTCAAATTCTCTCATCTAGTCGCCCCGAGTAGAGAAAGTAGTTATGCTCCAAAATAGACAAGGGAAGGAATATTAAAAATAAGTAAAAAAAATTCCTCACAGCAGTTCGTAAGTAGAACGAAGGAAGCTGTGAGAGTGGAGACAAGAGCAGCTCTCCACATGAGAGCTGACAAAGTTGTCTCAGTATCTGCTTGCTACTTACCTTCGCTGTAGCCTGTGCCTTCTTTCGCACTTTGAGCTCTAGCTTGCTTAACAATGTGAAACTGTAGATCTTTATCTGCAGACAGAGAAGACAAAAATATCACAGAACTTTTATATCAAGTACTTGGTAGGGTTAGTCTTTATTCCCTAACCTCTAGTATGAGACTTATGGTATGTTACAGAACATCGTAGTTTTATTTATGCATAAGGGACGGTTTGAACTAAAAATACCATTTTAAATTATTCCATATTTGAACTGAGGGGAGGGAAAAAAAAACCAACAACAGAAGTATTTCTGGGTTACAGGGACATGAAAAAATAAATGCGTGTATATTGCAGCTCTGTTCTGTACCATTACTATATTCCCAAATTCTATGGCCAGTTTTTTCCACCTTCTAAGCGTGCGTTTTAATACACTCTGCGCTTGATGCAAGAACATAGGAAGAACCTGGCAAATAACCTAAGAGGAAAAAAAAAATCCTTGGGCGCGAAGATGAAAACCGCGAAGTGACCTACAGAGCAGAACTGCACAGCGACAGAGCATAACAAGGGTAAGTTAAGGCAAAGTACAATGTTGAGAAAATAAACCTCCTGATGGAAACACTCGGGGTTTTTAGGAGGCCTTAGAGAGTTTACGGCTGACAAAGCAGTGGGGCGTGCTAACTGCGAGGACCTGGACTCTGCCCCATGGGGTCTCCCCTCGGCCCCTCATCCTCTGCCCCTTCCCTGGGGTCTCCCCTCAGTCCCATCCTCTTCCCCCCCCCCCGGGTCTCCCCTCAGCCCCAGCTGCCCCCCCCCCCCCCGGG